TGGAAAAGGTTGTTACTATGAAGATATTAAGATAACTTAAACTTTTATCTTCCAAAGCTTCTTTGGATTAAGCAGCTATTTTAATGAAAATATTTAACAATTTTGTTTAATTGCTTTCTATTCTTGAAGGTTTTAAAATTGCTATACCTCAAGGTACTGTAGATACAATTAATACTGTAAGTATGCCTGCTAAATCTATGGGAAATGCTTTAGATTGTTTTTTAGTTGATGGAGCAGGTGATATAGATATGATATATTTGAGATTAATTTGGTCTTTGGCTATTTAATTACTTTATATAATTGCTATGACTTTAATAATTCTTATATTGATTTTTAAGAATCGTTTTAAATGGAAGAGTTTATAAACTATGGCTATTTATATGTTTATCTTTTTATAACCTACATTTTTGATTGAATTTGCAAATCTTATAGCTTATAGAGATATATCAGGAGATGCATATATTTAAGCTAATGTATCTTATAAATATGATACATCTACACATGATGTATGGTTATCATGGTTTGCATATCCTGGATTCTTTATATTTTTATTTGTGATACCTTTTATCTTCTTTTATTAATTGATAATTGGTAAATGGTATGAGAGATTTGATTAAATAACATTTATGTAATCATGGGGATATTTCTATCATGAATATTCAAATGATAAGGATAGAATTATATATTATTGGGAATTTGTTAGAATTTATATTAGAGCTTTTATTAGTATTTTAATATGTCTTTAAGCTCAAAATGTCATTATTATGGTATAATATTAATTATTTATTATTTATAGGGTTCTTTATCTTCAATTTTGACTTTTATATATCTATTATTGAGTATTTATGTCCAACCATATAGTAATAAAAAACTAAATAAAATTGATTAAATTTCTAATGTCATCCTTACACTCACTTTTAGCATTGCAACCATCATTTATTCAACTATTTAAAATGATAATGTCTAAATAACACTTGCAGGATATATAATATTAGGTTTTTTGAATATTCCATTTTTAATATATATAATATTTGAAATTGTTGGAGAAAACTTTGAAAGTAAAGCTAATTTAATTGATAAATTGAGAGATAAAATTAATAAAAAATATCCATCTCTTATTAAAACAAGAAATTGTTTGACTTGTTGGAATTGTTGTGATTCATTTAATATTCCTAAATTCGTATTATAAAACCGTACAACTGCTAGAAAAAGAGCTAAAGAACTTTGGAGAGATCTTATGGCAACTGTCAATGAAAGTTTAGATGAATGGAAATTCGATAGAACTCGTCCATTTAAAGTTTAAAAATGGTTTAATGCACCTCTTGTTTTGTAAGATGAAGGAATGGATGAGTATCAGATATATTGATATATTTAAATTTATCTGCAACAATTTTATTTTTAAATATATTATATAATAATAATTATTTTTTTTATTTTTTTATTAAGTTAATATACTAATCCTTATTTATTACATTTATGAATAATAAAATTTAATAAACTTATATTTCATGTAAATTAATTTATATGAATTAAAATTACTAATCATATTTCAAATTTCTTTAAATCATCAGCAATAGTCAATTCAAATCCTGTGTTTGCTCTAACCCATTCCAAATCAGTATCAGCTGCTATTTCAGTCAATACTAATTCACCATTTCTCTTAACAAAAACAGCTTTGTCTAAAGAAATATAAATATCATTTACCAGTAATAACTTAATCAACTCTTCCAAGTCCAGTTGCAGGCAAAGTAATATCTTTTAAAAACTTCTTTTCTCCTTTAGCTGTATGTTCCATTACAACAAGAACTTTAGAACCAGATGCAACTAAATCCATTGCACCTCCCATTCCTTTTACCATTCTTCCTGGAATAACCCAATTAGCAATATCACCTTATTTATTAATTTACATAGCTCCCAAAACTGTTAAATCAAGATGACCTCCTCTTACAATACCAAATGATTCACTGCTTGAAAAAGTAGATGCACCTTAATTTAAAGTTATTGATTCTTTTCCTGCATTAACTAAATCTCCTAATTCTTATCCTTCTAATGGATAATTGCCAACACCAACAGCTCCTATTTCTGTATGGAAATGAATAGTAATATGTGGATCTAAGAATGCAGGTATAAGTGTAGGAATTCCTATACCCAAATTAACATACATTCCATCTTTGAATTCATGGGCAGCTCTTTTGGCAATTCTATTTCTCAAACCTTAATTCTTGGCTTTCTTGAATTTTTCTATGAAAAATATTAAATATTAATATAATACCAGGATTTCTTTTATAAACAGATTCATCATAAACTAATCTCTCAATCGATTTTTTATAATTGTTACCCAAATAAAGATAATCAACATAAATGCCATTTACATGTACATGATCAAATCCAAATGAACCTAAAGGTACAATAGATTCAACTTCAGCAATCACTACCTTTGCAGCCTTAGCCATATCTTCATTAAAGTTTCTAGAAGTTCCCACAAATCTGAGATTTCCATTTGTATCTGCAACACTAGCCTTAATAATGGCATAATCACCATAAATGGCTTCTTCTCTTAAATATTTCTGTCCTTTGAAATATTCAACCTATATTATTAGATTACAACACAAATTACATGTTTTGGTTTAGAAGCAATATCTACTTCAAAGTCTTTTGAATGATTTTTATATTTGATAGGAATACCTCCCTTCTCAACAACAGTATCTACACCTGTTCTGGTATAAAATGCTGGAATACCTGCACCTGCAGATCTTAACTTTTCTGCTAAAGTGCCTTATGGAATTAATTCAAGTTCCAATTCACCATCAAAATATTTTCTACTATAATACTACATATTACTCAGCAAGATTATGATTTTCTCCAGCATACGATGCTATAACTCTCTTTAATTATCCATTATTCAATAATATACCAAGACCTTCATCATTAGTACCACAATTGTTACTAACCACTGTAAGATTCTTTGTGCCTACTTCCTTAAGAGCATTTATGATATTTTCTGGAATACCACACAGTCCAAAACCACCAACAAGTAGAGTTGAACCAGCTGGTATTTATTTGACAATTGAAAGATCCTTCAAAATCTAAACATAGTATTTATTCATATGATGAAGTGATAGTGTCTTGGATAGAGCAAACATTATTTAATATATATTTTAGATATTATGATTCTTCTTGTTCCTAAATATAGTGAACTTAATACGAATTATTCAAATATTTATTAATTGCAATAAATTTATGAATTATAAACTAATAATTAATTCCTCATATCACCAATTTATAAACTTAATTCGTATACATAATTACACATTTTTCAATCTAAAATTAGAAAAATCTCTCTTCATATATATTTAATTAATTATATATTATAATTTCAAAAGAATTATGGGCTCCTATGGAACTACAATGATTGTTGTGTCTAAGGATAATTATTTCTGCTACTAGTAGATATCTGAGGAATAATTCTTCTAGGAGTAGATCCTCCATTATAGATACTCTTTAAATCAATACTATTTTATCTCTTTAATTATGAATTCTATTATTATTAATCTTCATTTGTCTTTAATCTAATGCCTTAGTCTTAAGGATTCAAGATCAATCCCAAAGATGGAGAAGGTTGTAAATCTGGTTATTATTACGAGATCGATCTCATCTTATTTAATCTTGGAGTTGATAATTATTATAATTAGATATAATATTCTTCTAATGTAGTGTCTATGTTAAATTTAGAATTGCATTAGGGACATTCAACTATTTTATTTAAACCATAAGTTATTATAGATTGATATTAAGATTATAAACAGGATTTACAATAATAATGTCCACATTTATTTTTTACTCCTTATTCTTGAGTTTTTTTGCAGAAGTCACAAAAATCTGATGCTTTTTATTTGATTGAATTGCTTTTTTATAATAATTGATTAACATCTATTTCTTTGCTATTATTATTTCTTATTAATTCATTATTCAATATTTCTGTACATGATGGTTCTAAACAAAAGTGAGTCTAAAAATATTTTGATTTATTTAAAGAATCTTTGATGCACTTTTCACAATGTGTATGTCCACATTTGTTTGTGTAGAGTTTTTCTGATGATAATTTACACTATAGACATTTATTTACTTAAGAATAAGGATCCATTAGAGGAGATAATTAAAGAAATGGAAAATCATCTTTACTTAGTTCTATTTTACAATAGAAATCTCTACAAATAAAGTAGGATCCTAATTTGAAATATAACTTCAAACATTATTTACAATATGTATGACTACATGCTATTGATTTATTCAATTCAATTTAATCAAATGATCTTAAACAACCATTACATTCTTGTTTCATTTCCAATATAAAATCATGTTATAATGAATTAGAACGACTCCTTTACTTTTCTTAAGTCTCCACTGTATAATGACTTTAAAATTATACAATTTTGAGTATTAATGGAAGATTCTCACTATTTGAAAGAGAAATGGAAGTATTATATGTCAAAAAGATCATATCTATTTTGAATGTCTAACCCAATTTCTATAGAATATCCTTATTACATATTGATGGAGCAATTATTTTGTATTATGCAAAAATATGCATCTTAATTATTTATGATGATTCTTCTTAATTAACTAATGCATAGAAGAGAGTAATATTTGGATTTCTAATCATTTAGTTTAATAATTCTATTGTTTTATGTATTCTGATTGGTGCAAATTGATTGGCTAGAGGTATAAGTAATTTAATCTAATCTTAGTTTTTAGTTTTAATTAGTATTTCAACTAAACCACATAAAAGGGCAGACCAACAATCATTACAATCATGAGATTCTTACTTCTTAGATGAATTTTACATTAAATAATTAATTGTACTATCACTGATATATAAGTCATTAATATATATATGATCTATTATATAATTATAACTATATGATTATAACTTCATAATAGTACATTTATTCAATAACAATAAAAATTAAAAACTAATATATAAATATATAAAAATAAAAATGTTAAGGGAAGAACTCTTCTTAAGAACTCCATAACAGAAAAGAACTACAAATGGTATCTCATTTTAATAAAAAATCAATTAATTGAATAAAAAGAACAGCATCAAATTTTCTGAACTCTTAAAAGAGCGTAGATTAGATTGTAAATCAACACAGAAAGTTACATTCAGAAGACCCAGTCTATCTCGTAAACCTGTGTATAGAATTTAATAAGGTATCATTAACAAGTTCTTATTACAGCTGTTAGTATACAAAGACACTTATCTTAAGAACCTTAGACATCAGGAACATATAGTGTTGTATTTTCAAACTATGCACATTAATATATGGATAAGAGGAAAATACAAACTAGTAATTGTGATCCAAATGAAGATACTAAAATTAACTAATAGAAAATATTAAAGGGATGTTATAATCAATCAGATACAACGAATACTAGATCAATACTCACTAGTTTATTATAAGGTATGTAACATAGAATTTCTGCAGAAAAAAACATGGGTGTCCTTGGTTTTCAAGTTGTGCCATTTACTAAATTGATTGAACATAATGCTTTGATTTCTCAATAAACCATAAGACATAAAGCATTCTCATAAGATAAAGAAAGGGATAAATCTTAATCATTTACAGAAGAATTAGACAAAAGAGTCAAATCTAAGATTGTATAAAGTAATAAATAAAGAAAATCAATTAATTAAGCAAATGCTAGTCCAATACCTTAAAAAGTAATTGTTCCTTAAAGTAATTCAACTTAACCAAATAATTTTAAGTTTTCATTAACTGAATACTCTTAATTATCAAGAGAATAATTATTTTAAACTAAATTATAAAATTACTAACATTTTTTATTTTTAGTATCTTGTTAAAGTGGATTTTATACATAACCATAAGATAATTTAATTGAATTAAAATTAAAAATAGGAGGTGGAAATAATTCATTTTTGATAAAAGAAATATTAAAATAAAGATGGTGGTGGACTCAATATAAATATAATGAATTATTAGATGAAGATAGTAATTTTATATGGACTCAAATAAAAGTTTAAGAATTTATTAATTAATAATAATAATCAAATAATTATTGTGTTTAATAATAATAGAAAAAGAAAATAGTTAATTAATAATCATTTAATTCAATAAAGAAAAAATAAGTTATTGATCCATTTTTGAGATTGATGAGAGATGATAGTGAATATAAATTAATAGATAGAAATCAAAAAGCCTATTTAAAAATTGTAAATATGAAGAATTTGAATATTCTATAAGTAGATTCAAATATTAAGGTATTATTATATATACAGAATTTAGATTCATAATCATATAGATAAAAATTATCATTTAGGAAATAAGAAAGCTATGTATCATAATCTTAAAAAATATTATGAATTAACAAAATAAGATTTGAATATGATAATTCCAAAAACATTTCACATATAAAAAGGAGCAAGAGATAAAACATATTTATAATTTCTTGAATTCTATAAAAAATAACCTAAGTATAATAAAGATTACTATCTAGAGGCTCTACATGGATAGTAAAACCTGGGGAATTTACAAATAGAGGAACTGGTATTACAGTATGTTAAAGTTTGTCTGAAATTAATAAAATTATAAGTAAGAAGTAAATGCATTCAAATGGAAAACAATTTACTTATTTAATATAAAAGTATATTGAAAAACCATTCTTATATAATAAAAGGAAATTTGATATTCGTTGTTACTTTCTTATAACTCAATTGAATAATATAATGAGAGCATATTGGTATGAAGATGGATACATTAGAACTTCATCTGAAGAATTTGATTTAGATGATCCTGCTAATTTATATGTTCATTTAACTAATGATGCTATATAGAAATATGCTGATACTTATGGTAAATATGAAAATGGTAATAAATTATCATTTTCTGAATTTCAACGTTATTTAGACAATCAACCAAAAAAGTATAATTTTTATAAAGATCTCTATCCATAACTTATTGATATTGCTACTATTAGCATTAAATCTGTATATTGTAAATTAGCTCCATATAAAAAACAATATAATTTTGAAATATTTGGTTTAGATTTTATGATAGATTAATCATTTAAACCTTATTTAATTGAAATCAATACAAATCCTTGTTTAGAAACAAGTAGTCCTATTTTATAAAGAATTATACCTTAAATGGTTGAAAATGCATTTAGAATGTCAATTGATACAATTATACCACCACCAGATGCTAGTTTATGGCCACCATGTAAAAAACATCTATTATTTTATGATAATCTTCTTGAAAATAATAAATTTTAATTAATATTTGATGAAAGAGAAGATTCAGAAGAATTAATTAAATTATATGGAGCAATTTTAATTCATGATGAAATAGATGAAATGGATGAGGAAGAAGAAGAATATGAAAGTGAAAATGAAAATAAAAATTTTGATAATTGAAATAAATATTGAATAACTATATATATATATATATAAAAATATAGAACTTATATTCACATATTCTTAATTATTTTACCTATATCAATATCAGTATTAAAACGTTTGCATTATGATGACTATTTAAATGAACTCTAAGTTAATGCCTTTATATTTGATATTCCTTTGACCATTGAAAGTGGAGATAAAGAAATTAATGTTCTTTATTATGGTTTTGATAATCCTTATTATCCTTATATTTATTATTGTTTTAACATAAGTTATAATATACCCTATCTACTATCACGAATATTTTTATTTGTATATTCAAAATTTGGAAAATATCGATTATATTTACTCTAACTATTATAAAACTAATTACTTATTTTTCTTTCCTCAAATTCTCTTATAATTTTTTTTAAAATTCTATATCTCCTTTACTAAATTCTATTTCATCAAAATTATAACTTAATGGTTTTGGACGATAACTAATATTTAACCTTCTTTTCGCCAAAGCTTCTATATTAAATCCTTTAAACCATTTATGTGAGAGTATTTCTTTTATTCCATTTTTAGATCCTAAACGAACTTAAGGATCTTTAATTAATAATTTTGAAATTAAATCTTTAAGATCTTAATTAATTTCAAATTAAGGAGGGAATGATATTCTATCATTTAAGATGCTATTATAAATCTGTTCAATATTCCTACTATAAAATGGAGGAGATCCACATATAAATTCATATAGTAATGCTCCTAAACAATAGATATCTACCATAAAGTTATGTCCATTTCTCATAAGCATTTCAGGTGACATATATTCTGGAGAACCACAAAAAGAAAAAGCTGTTTCTTCTCTATCCATATTTGGTTTAGCAAGTCCAAAATCAGATAAACGAATATATCCATCTAAATCTAATAGTATATTTTCAGGTTTAATATCTCTATAAACAACTCCATATTAATGTAATTCTTATATTGCCAAACATACTTATACAAAATATTATTTTGCTAATTCTTCATTCAATCTTCTTAGTTTTCTTAAATGATAAAATAATTCTCCACCTGCACAATATCTATATATTATTAAAATAGTAAATATACTCCAATACAAAAACTAAATAATATTTTGTTTCAAATGAATAAAATAATTTGGCTAAATAGGGTGAATTCAATTATTCCATTACTTATCTCTCATTATTAATAATAATCTCTTTATTTGAATTCAAAATGAAATTCTTATCAATCAATTTCATAGCATAAAAATATCCACTATCTTTCTTTCTAACTAAATATACACGTGAAAAACCACTATATTATATTAGAATTAATACCCAACTCCAATGCATTTAAGTATCTCAAAATCTTCAATGCTTAATTAAGTATTAACATTTTTTGAAACATATGGTTCTAATTTCAAATGTCTTTATTCTTTAAATACATCTAACGGATGATATTCAAGTGATAAATAGTAATCAATATTGTAATTCTTAACACTACTATGTGTTTAAAAATGTTTAATTTAATGCACTATTGTAGGGTTAATTTGATTAACTTTGCCTATTAATTTCTTATATAAATCTGTAGTGCTTTGATTTATTCCTATTGGTACAATCAATCTATTTTCATTCATTCCTTTTACTTTTAATCATTCAACATTAATGTTATTGTAAGTTCAACAGGATCTCTATCACTATTCAAAGTCTTCACTGTAGGACATCTTCCAAATGCATTATTTGTTGTACTTCCACAAGGTGATTAGACTCTTACTAAATTTTCAAATGGATTCTATAGTTCAGTTGGTTTTTTTTTATGGAAAATTGGTGATTAAGGAAGTCTTGCAGATTAAACTATTTATTTCATTAAATATTAATATTAGTATAAATTCAATTTAGTAATGTAAAAGTTTGTACTTCTACCCTGAAATTTGGTGAAAATATTTTATGATTTTTATCTTTGACTGCTTTATCTAACATGTATTTATCAATGATTAAAAGACCAGTATTGTCCAGAAATGCAGTATGAAACCAAAATTAAAACATGATCTGCTTACTGATTAAAGATTTATTATAGCATATAATACGAGTATCTCCTTAAATTACAGCATCACTCATAAATATAATAAAGTTATCATTTACAATTTGAAATTTTGCAACAAGTATTTGAGTTTAATTATTTTGTATTAAGATATAAGGTTTGCATGAATTTTTACAATTCATTATTGGTATTGTAATTAATCTAATTTATGATATTTAAATTTTATTTTATGGAATATCTTGTGCTTCTAAACCATAAGACAACGCCTTTTCAAAATATAAAATGTAACGAATTTAAGAAGGTATCGTAACTCCTTTCTTGTTTTTTGTACGCATTATACCATAAAAACGCATAGCTTCATAACTGCTATTAAACATTCCTGAAAAAAGCATATAACAACAAATCATAACACCTGTTCTACCTTTACCTGCTTTACAATGAATTGCAACTACATTCTATTTGTCTTAACATATGAAATTGTGTATTTCATTACATAATTCAAAAATCATACTGAATTATGGTGCTTAATGATCATCAAAAGGATATTCTGACACATTTCCATCAAAATATGCATGATTATATTTACGTTCAGAACATAAGTTGATAATCCGATAATGATTTTTATGTCTCTCATTAAAGAACTTCTAAACATCTGCCATAGAATTTCGATAAATAGCTTCATAATCATTTGCAGGATAACCCATAGCTATAATTTATTCAGTGATATCTAAAACTTAATTAAGTATCTACATGTTAAATCTAAATCGAAACCATCTTAAACAAATCTATTTTTCTGTTTGCTGACTAATTATTTAATAGGATTAGTGAAGAACCCTTTATTATTATTTTAGTTGTTCTACAGATTTTGTTTAATCAATTAACTCAATTCTTCTGAACGTCCTCTAACTCCATAGAAAGGTAATGTTTCTAATTGAAAATCTAATGTTGATGATAGATCGAAAACACTTTCTTAGTCCATAAATTTAATAATCATTTTTCCTATATCAAAATTAAGTTGAATTAAGAATTTTTAAATGTTAACTACATATATATTTTAGAAGATCTCACACAATATATAAATATTATTATTAAATCAAACAATTCAATTGAATTCAACAAACTCTATCATTCTCTTGTTAAATTCTATAAATTTCTTGTCTTATTAACAATCTAATTAAGTTAATACTTCTATTTTTTACATATATTATTTAATGTCTTTAAAATTTCAATTAATACTAATTAACCTCTTCATCTATCTAACTTAATTTGATAAATGATGTTCTTTCTATTTAAACAAATTAAATATTATAAAATAAGTATAGATTTTCTAATATAGAGTTGAATTCTAATATTTTTTTTTAGTTGTGTGTTCTAAACGTTAATATAATAATGCATAAAATACCAACTTCAAGATCTGCTTCAAGCAATCGAATTACATTAATTAACAAACTTAGTTCACCTTTACATACTCAATAAGACATACTAGATCCAAAAATCAATTAAAAGGAACTTATTGAACAATTACTCAAAACAATCAAGAGGAAACCTACATAAAATGAGAAACCACAAAAAAGAATACGATCCAATGCTAATTCAGGTCAAAAATTAGTTGAAATCAATAAAAATGTCTTACACATAAGAGATTATGAAACTGAACAATAAACATTTAAGAAAATGCTCAATAAAACTATTTTACCTAAAGCATAATAAATATCTAATTATACTATGTTATAATTCTTAGGCAAAGGAAAATATAGTGAAGTTTAATTAGCTTGTGAAATCAATACTGGAATACATGTTGCACTTAAAATTATGAAAAAAGAATAAATTTCATCTATTTGGAAGAGTATTGCATAAGAATTAAAGATTTAATATCTACTCAATCATCCAAATATTGTTAAACTATACACTTTCTTTCATACATGTTTATTATTATATTTTATATCATAGCCACTGATATTGTATTAGTATTAGAATATTGTTATCATGGACAATTACATAAATTATTGAGATCATTACCAGAAACCTGTTTTACTGAATAAGTTGCTTCATTCTACATTAAATAAGTAGCTTCAGCCTTAAATTATCTACATAGAAATGGTATTATTCATAGAGACATCAAACCAGAAAATATATTTTTATGTTACAATCAAATTAAATTGGCTGATTTTACTCATTCAATCTACTCTCCTCAATAAGAAAGATCTACTTAATGTGGATCATTAGCATACATATCTCCTGAGATTGTTAAAGGAGAAAACTATGATAAAAGTACTGATATGTGGTCATTGGGAGTCTTAGCATATGAATTATGTACTGGTGAAACTCCTTGGGAAGACTTATCATATCAAGAAATGTAGGATATGATTATAAGTGGTAATATTAGATTCCCAAATAAATTTTCATAAGAATTAAGAGACTTCATAAGAAATCTAATACATGTTGATCCAAAATATAGAATGAATGCAAGATAAGCTCTTGCTCATCCTTGGTTAATTGATAGTAAATAGGAGATATCTTAATTCAATATTGATATATGATTAATTACTAATTAGTATAAAATTATATTAGTTAATTATTATTATTTTAAAATTTTAATATTAAATTTATTTAATCATTATTGTATTAATTACTCTAAATTAATTATTTACTAATAAAATTATTTATTAAATAAATTTATAATTATTAATTCATTCATTTAAAATTATTTTTATAAAACAATTATAATTGTTTGGATAAATATGAATTGGAAAGATCTAAGAATTAAATAATATTCTACTTAATTGTATTATAAAATATTTTTAGAATTCATCATTTTTTTAAATGGAATATTGTTTCTAATGATATTAAAAATTGTTATTAATATATTCTTAATTTAGATCATATTCTTCAAGAAAATAATTCTATTTAACATTAATTAATACGTATTGATTTCTTTATAGTAAAATAAATAAATTATTTAAATATGTAATTTGCTAATTAGGGTTCTTTATTAGAATATGATTTCAATATAATTATAAAGCATTATAACAATCATAGAATTTGATAAAAGAATGAGTTTTGGAAAATAATTATTTTATATATGATTTTTTAATTGAAATTTATTCTAAACACTATATAGGTTGTATAATAAAGAGTTATTAATGAGTTTCATGAATTAAAATATTATTGATAAGATCAATTCTTTTGGTCAAACTTTGTATTCAACCAATAAATAATGAAATGATATCCTTGAGTCAACTAAAGGCTAAGAATTTTTTAGTTACGACTGCTATAAAATATTATAAAGTACTTCATATAGAAAAACCTAAACCAAAAAAAAAAATTAGAACTTAAAGTCCAATACAAGTTCCAAATAGAAAAAGAAGATTATCATTCTGTTTGAAGGAGAATAATCAGACGCAGAAAAATAAATTTCCATTAATGCCTTTGCATTTGCATTAGAAACCAAGTAAAATATAATTTTATATATGTCCAGACAATTCAAGGATTGTCAATAAGTTGAGTTAAAAATGATTATTAAAAATATAGAAAAATGATTATAGAAGAATGCAGAAATATAATGAATACTTATAAAATGAATAGAGACATTCACAGAAATACAAATCAACCTATTTTGGAAGAATTCAATAAGGAAAAAGAATAAGAAAAGGAAAATAGGATAGTTTAAGATAAGAGATAAGAATTTAATAGGGAATATATTAAAAAATTAGCTTGAATAATATTTAAGTATTCATAAACAATAAAATTATATTTTAATGTAATAAAGGGAATAAAGGTTATCCTAAAGAGCATTTTCATCTAATTCTCCAACAATGAGTAGTGCTTATGCCTCAGCTATGAAGAATATGTAGGATAAATTAAGAAATGATACTTATAGGAAATCAATTGATTTGTCTCCTTAAGATATCATAATTGAATAACTTAAATAATAAGTAAATGAATTATCAAGTGAAAATGATCGTCTTCAAATGTAATTAATGAAAGTTTCTTAAGAAATGGAAATGAATAATAGAGCCACTTAATAAATAGAGTTGTTATAAGTTGAAAGATTATAACATTTAAAGGATTATTAAGATAGAGTATCAGAATTGATAAGGAAGAATGAAGAACTTAAACATGATAAACATGAAATTTAAATGGCATTTGAAAGTCTTTAGAGATAATTATAGGCTTATAAAAATAATGAAAAAGGATTGTTACATAAAGTTGAAATGAAGAAATATGAAGAAAATTCAATATTATTAAATACTGTTTAAGAATATAAGTAAAAGATTGATATGAAAGACAACATTATTAAAAAATTAGAAAAAAGAATAGAATTATTAGAATTAGAGAAATAAAAATTAGATTAAGATTTTGAAAATTACAAATAAAAGCATTCTTCATATAAATTACATGAATTTGAAAAATAAATATCTAATCTTAAATATTAATTAGATGAGAAGGATAGAGCTTACTTAAAAAATATTGATGAAGCTTAATCAAATAGATTTTGTAGAGAAGAATAAATGGCTAAAAGAATTTAAGAGTTGATTTTAAAGAGTTCTGAATATCAAGATATTATTTAATAATTAACTATGGATTATAAAGATTTAAGCGTTAAATATTAAACTCTTAAAATTAAATTGGAATCTGAAGAAAAGAGTCACAAATATTTAAAAAGAAGAATATCTAGATAAGAAGAAACAGAATTTAATTAAGGATACAAAGAATAGAGAACAATTAGTAAATTAAATTTAGATTAAATTTCTAACACATTACCTAGTCCAAGAGCAGATTAAAGTTTAAGATAAAGTCAATTAAAATAAGCAATTAAAGATTGTTTAGTAGATATGAAGAATTCAGCATATAGTCCTGATAAAAAGGTTGATTCAAGAAAAAGATTAATATCTCCATTATCACCTCAATAACATATAGAAATTGAAGCTAAATTAAAGTCTTTAAATGAAAAATATGAAAATTTAATTCGTTAAGCTTAGCGAGAGAATGATTTTTAAAATAAAGCAGTTATTCGAAAATAATTATTAGAAATAGCTGAATAAATAAAAGAAACTACAAAACTTGATAAATTAAACTGAAGAATTAATTGATTTATATTTTGTTGAAATAGTCTAGGAATTTCAATGTTAATATTGAATAGTATATAATTTATATTAATTGTTGTCTTAGAATAGAAATTAATAAATTAATTATACTTATGATATAAATATTTTATCTTTTATGTCTAGCATTGAGCCAAGAGGATGAGAATCAAAGAAGATATTTGTAATTAGGGGAATCAGTGCAAGGGTATAAAGAAACAATATTTTAGATTTGTTTCACCAAGAGCATAGAATCATCATGTTTATTTATTCATTGTTCCTGAAATACCAAATTAAACAGATCTTGTAGTTCAGCTTAAGACTTTGAATCCTAATTCAGATCCAAATTTATACATTTCAAAAAGTGTATAAGAACCATTATCAGTTTAAGATGCTGATGTATAAGTATGTGAAGCCTAAGGAATGGGTAAAATTTTTGTTGATAATAGAAATCTGTATAATAAATAATGAAAAGATTAAGGAAAATGATATCTTATACATTTCAGTAGTGTCTCGTTTTCCAAGCAGATATATATTAAGAATTGAATAAGATTAGGAATAAACACTAATGATAGAGAGCTTTTTAACTTTTAAATTAACAAGAGATAAATAATCATAAATCATAGATTTTACAATACCTAAGTTATTGGAATAATAAACAGAGATAGAAATAAATGTTTAAGTGGTTAATTAAGAATTTTTAGAAGAACCATTTTAAGTTTTTATGAATAAATATGAGAATGGACCTCCAGACAATAATAAGTATGATTATAAAGCTACTGATACATGGGATAACTAAAAAGTCATTGAATTTACTTAAACTAAGCCATTTGAGTAGTATAGAATCCTAATTCAAGGTGAATAGGGAGCAGTATTTAGAGTAATGGCATCTCGAAGATAGAAATTGAAATAGTTGAATTTCTATGAAACTATTACATAAGTAGTTGAGAAAGGAGACTTTGATTTCTATCAAGTGAATAATTATTTTAGTAGTTTTAATTGCGATATTGTATATTATTGGATTCATAATTAAATTAGGCAATTAGATTAACTCCATTTAAGGGTTATGCAAAATTGTTTGTTCATTATAATAATTAACCACCATTATTAGAGAGTTATGAATGGTAAGAGGAGAATAAAGAAGGAGAGATAATTTATATTACTTAATAAGAATTAATTAATAAAAATATATCAATAACAAGTTTTTATATTGCTGTTATGGGTGAAGAATTATGTACATATGAATTATAAGCTACATGTTAATATGGGGATTATATTATGCCTGGTAGTGTTCATTAGAAGTTTGTATAAGAATAAGAAATAATTAGATTTGATATATTTGATTATAGAAATGAAGGTCATTAAATATAAGTTAATTTACATACACTTTAGGGAATAATAAATTTTATTATAACTAATTGTAATGATGAATAATTATGTCCTTATAATGAAGAATTATTCAAGAATTAAGAAAAGTATGAATAAATGACAAAATACACAATGATATATTTAAATAAAAAGTAAGAAGCTTAATATATTTTAAATTGTGAAAACTTTTGTTCATATTATGTATTAGCTATGCTTGATAATAATAGTAAATAAGTTGGTAAGTTTACAATTCAATATAAAGTAATTGAAAGAACAATGAATTTAATATCAAATACACCTCATAAATCATAAGTAGAGAAAGCATCATATTAGAATTACAAATTTTTTGTATCTGAAGAGGATTAAATACGTAGATTGTAATTTTTAGTAACTCCAATATAAGGAGATGTAACTATGTATTTATCAACTGTATATTAATAACCTAATGAATTGAATTATGAATATAAATCATAAAATAATTCAATTAATTTTGGAGGTAGATTTGCTAATTAACCTCATTCAGGAACTTATTATTTATCAATTTATGGTGAATCATTCTCAAAATATATAATAACAGTTTGGGTTATCAAAAATTTCTAGGATTATTAGTAATTAGGAAAATTCCCATGGCATTATATTCAATTGTATTAAGGAGATTAACATGAACATTACTTAGTTAATGAAGAATTTGTTTTATATAAAATAGATCTTAAAGGTTATGGTCAAAAGTAGTAAGATTCATTGAATGTGATATTGTAAAAAGAATATGGATAATTTTAGATATTTGGATTTGATCATCCTGAAACAGATGAATCAAAAGCAATATGGTAAAGTGGATAAATTATTAGTATTATGAATAATGATATTAAATATCCAGAAATTCTATATTTGAAAATAAGATTAGAATAAATATAAGATAGTTTTGGTAGTTTTAGAATTGCTTATTATAGTTATAACTATATAATTGATTTATTTTTAGATGAACCATTTTTTAATTTCTTATCTTCTAATAATGTGTAGAATTTCAGATATGAATATGGCAAGAAAGAAGTTTTTGTGATTTCTAAAAGATCTTTTGAATTTGATTAATCTTCTTTATAAATAGATTTCTAACCTTAATTTGGTTTAGATATAAGATATTATTAAAATAATAGTACTATTGTTGTTTAGTAAAATGAAGAGAATTATTGTTTAAATTAATAAAATATGTGTTCAGAATATTTTTAGTTTTATATCTCAAGCAAATTTGATACATTTTATTCTATATTAATCTCAAAAATTGATAAATCTGAAATTTAACTTAAAGAAGATTAACCAATAACAAAAGTATTACCAATAGGTGAAGATTACTTTTATTTATATTGTTAAGGTTAAGAGGTTAATATATTAGCTTTTAGTTATTATGGAGAATTAACAATATTTGCTAAAATAGTTACAACTTTGAATTCTAATTAACCAAATGCTAATTAATATGATAAAGTTTCTAAAAATCGTAAAGTTAGTTCTTAAGCTTCAATATACTTTTCTTAAGATGAAATTGAAAATTTTAATTGTATTGATAAATGTATAATCAAAATAACAGTTGTTGTTCTTAGAAATTAAATGGTAGATATTAATAGCAATTTCTATGATTATACAATTTAATATAATTCAAAATTAATAATGTTAAGAGAATCAGAAATCTAAGAAGGATTATTAATATAAAATGGATATAAATTCTATAAAATACATGTAAACAATAATGATACTAATCTTATGATTATGCTTAAACCAGATGTTAATTGTGATGCAGATTTAATAGTATCTAAATCTAAATTTCCAAATCATAATTATTTTGATTGGGGATCTTTTGATCTATATAGTGATGTACTTATTATTGAACCTGGTAATAATATTGATCCTAATTTACCTGGAGATTATTAGTAAAATATTAATTATATTAATTAGTGTTGGAGTTCAAGGTTATTAGGAATGTTAATTTGCAATTTAATATCATCTAAAAAATGTTGAGGCATATGATATATTCCAAAATTAACCATATAAATTGTAATTATTAATTATTAAAATAGTTATGTTGGTTCAAATTATACAGTCTTTTTAAAATTACAATCATATCAATAAACAACACCATTTATGATCTTTGTATAATCACATTCTGAAACAGCTTATTTCTATGTAGATGAAACTGATCAAATATCAGCTAAATTTAATTCATATAGTCAAGATATAACAACATTTAAATATAATAATTTTGGAAGAGGTTATTAAAAATATTTTACTACTGAATCTTTAAAATAAGATAATGTTTTAATAATAGCACTTAAAACATATACATCTGAAATTGTTACAGTTTAAGTTAATAATAATGAAACTGATATATTTTTAGAACCTCAAACATTATTTTAATATTCACTTGAATATAACAAAACAGTTACATTTACTCTTAATCCAAATAGTGAACAAACAATACTTTAGATTAATTTATTCAGTGGCTAACTTATTTGTACCTATTCTTTTGAGAATCTCGACTAAGAAAGTAATTTTAGTACTTTAATTTTACTTAATATTCGACCTGATAATTACAATAATACATTTAATATAACAAACTAAAAAGAATTCTATTTGAAAATTAATTTTGAAGCTATATACAGTTCTTATTTTAGTATTTAATATTTTACAGAGATTGACCAAATGAATTATATTTAGTAAATATATCATATAATCTAGTTCAATTTATCCTGTATTTTTTACACTTAAAGCTTAAAGTGAAAAAGAAATTTATTACTTGAATCAAGAAATTTTTCCATTAAAAAATACATCTAAGACATTTACAATTTCCATTTAAGTTTAACAAAATTATAATGATATACTAACCAATTAAAAAAATAGAGCTCTACCATTAATTAAAGTCTATCAAAATACTACATAATTATAATTGCTACCTATTAAATAGACAATATTATCTAATTTGATCTAAAATGAATATATAGATACTGATACCACATATAAGATTATATTATAAAATTAAGCTTAATTTGAACAATATTATTAAATTTAAATTGGAACTTCAGATCTTAGACCATTAATACCAAAAATTAAATAACTTGGAACAAATTAATTATATCAAAGTTCATATTGGGCTTTATAATAGAAGTTTGGATATCTATTTTATGAAATGTAATTTTGTAATGGAATCTTTTCTGTTTATGCTGGAAAAGACTTAGGAATGTTAAGTTTAGGTCAATATGATAATAAATTAGATATTAGGTAAAATAAATAAGTATTTGGATTCTTTGATAAAATAGACGGTACAGATTTTATATATTTAAAATTTGACTTAATTAAATCACTTAATAGTAAAATATAAAATGCCTTATATACAATAAGAGTCTATTATGTAGATGAGAAAGATGAAATCCCTTATGATTAATTCTTCCCAGGACTTTAGGGCTATTTAACACCTAATATTACAGACAATCATGATGATACTTTAACATTATTTATTGAATTTGCACCTTTATAATACATTAAAAAAAATCAAACAGAAATTTTTGAAATGAAATAAATTGAATATTTTGTTATATTACAAGAAAAAAATGAGGATGATGATTTACTTCTTGATTATTGTTCAGAACCATCCAATTAAATTAGTGTTATTACAAATTATACTGATAATGAAACATCACTATAGATTTAAGTACCTCTTTCTAATATGAAATGGCAAAAATAAAGAAACTTTGTTTTTACTATTTTAGCTACTGGTAATTTATATTATTTAATATATTTTTAGTGGATGTTTTATTATATAAAGATGAATAAAAAATTTAATTAGACTATTTTTATGAAATAAATTAAATTAAATGGAATTAATAATAAATAATGATCTAAGAGAATAGTATATCATTTAATTATTAATGGATTGGAATATGTATAGTAATGATCATTTTAATTATTGCTCTTATATTATTTGTCAAAATGAGAAGAAATACAATTATGTATAAAATTAATGTATAAATTAAGATCAAAATATGAGAATAATGAGATTAGTAACTAATAAACCGAAGGAATAGAAATGCATTATCGTGGATTAAATGAATGAATATTGTTTTAATAATAAATATATATTATAGATGTTTAATATAATATTATAATTAAAAATTAGATTTGATTAGATTAGGTTATCTAATAAATATTTTAAATACTATTAATTTAATAACTTTTTGATGTAAATAAAATCAGCAATCAACTGATGAACTTAATCCAATGTAAGTGCTATGATCAGCATTAGAAGTAGATTTGACAGTGTATGAGCAAGTTTTATCTTCTCCTCTAGTGGCTGCACAAACAGTGTGAGTTCCATCATGATACCAGATTTCTCTATCTTAATGATAGAATCCCATAGCATACAATGGAAGCTATATAATATAAATATTTTTTATACATGAGGAACAGTGTCGTTTTAGTGTACAACTCTGAAATGAGTTATTTTTGTATATTTAGTGAACCAATCATAGAAATCTGGATCTCCTACTCTTGGTGAACCATAACTGAACAAATGAACTGTTTTTCCTTATTCAGCTAATTATAAGGCATATAATGTAGCCATGGCACCACCTAAACTATGTCCACCAACATGAATAGCAGCATATGGGTATTTAGTAACATATCCTGGGAATAATGTATCAAGTTTTGGTTTAAGAGACAAGAAAGCATCATGGAATCCAGTGTGTACTTTGCATTTACATGCTGTATTATAATCTGTTTTTCCAAAAGAAATGTTTTCAATCCAGTTTTGAATATTGGATGATCCTCTGAAAATAACTACAATAGCTGATTCTTTTTTGTTATATGCAATATATCCTTTTGTTCCCTATAAATTAATATTAAAGTCTTACACTAACAAGATTCTCAAAAACTTCAATGTTTGTTAAATCTGGATATGATCTACTAACATAGCCAACAGACCAATTATGGATTGCTGCATTTGGACAATAGGAAGCAAAAGACAATGCTGCATACTCTTTAGCAATTGCCTCATTATATGTGAAAGCAGATGCTGTAGCGACAAGAACGAGCAACAAGATTCTTGATGATGTCATTTTAATTTTGAATATAAATTATTCTGATTTTATTTTAAGTGTTGTGCGTAATTAAATACCGTCACTTTCAAATGATATGCATTAAATGTGATTAATCAATCAGATAATGATATAATAAAATATTAACTTATTTTTGTAATTAATAATAGATATTATCTTCATCTTATAACTATTTATCAAATATGTTATCTAAACTATTATTATTACTCTTATTTAATCTTAAAGTCTAAAGAAAAGCTCAATCTTATTCCTTTTGCATGCTTTCTTTATACAATAATCCTAATAAATATTGATGATATCTAAATATTCCATTTTAGACCACAATTATATATGATGTACATTAATATACTCAGAAATTTAAATAAGAATATTAATACCATTTATATATATTCATTTTTATTTACAATTATGCTAAATCTATTTACTATATTAAGAGAATTTAAGGATTTTATAATAAAGGAATATTATCATTTATAATTATCATAATAATCATTAAAAAAATGTTAATATTAACTTTTGAATGAATATAATGTTATGATCATAAATCTTTTATATTTGTAAGATATTCTACACCTGGTAAGATCTTACCTTCCAATAATTCCAAAGATGCACCACCACCTGTAGATACATGACTAAGTTTATCATTTGCCTTATTAGCACCAACAAGATTGACTGTGTCTCCACCACCAACAATAGTTGTAGCTCCATTTTATGTTTATTTAACCAAAGCATTCAACATACTAACTGATCCATTTTTGAATTATTCAATTTCAAAAGCACCTTAAGGTCCATTCCAAACAACTAATTAAAATATATATTTTAATTATACTTGTCTTAGCTCTTCCAATAGCATCAGCATTTTCTCTTTATGTCAATTATCCAGCATCTAAACCTAACCATCCATCTGGAATTCCTGATTTAAGATCATGTAATGCAACAGGACTTGAAGCATCTAATCCAGTACCACATACAAAATCAGTAGGTAAATGAATTTTAACATTCTTTTCTTTAGCTTTAGCAATAATTTCATCAACAATTTTATATCCTTCTTCATCAAAGAGTGATTTTCCAATTGGAACATTATATATTTTTTTAAGGAATGTAAAAGCCATACCTCCACCAATAATCATTTCATCTACTTTATCAAGCATAGATTTAATCAATTAAATTTTGTCTGCTACTTTAGCTCCTCCTAAGATAACAAGGAATGGTCTTTATGGTGTTTCTAAAGCTTTAGCAAAATAATCAAGTTCTTTCTTCATTAAATAACCAGCAACTCTAATTTTATGATCAATTCCAACCATAGATGAATGAGCTCTATGTGCTGTACCAAATGCATCATTAACATAAATATCACCCAAAGATGATAATTCCTTTCTAAATTTCTTAACACTCTCTTTGTCTGCTTTAATCTTAGCTCCATTTGCATCAAGACCTTTTCCTTCTTCTTAAATGTGGAATCTAAGATTTTCTAATAAATTGATCTATCCATTTCCAGCATTTGAAGCTTCAAGAGCTTCTGAACCAACACAATCATTAACAAAGTTAACTTTAGTACCCAATAATTCCTCTAATTTAGGAACAACAATCTTAAGTGAATCCTTTTCAACTCTATAAAATTAATATCTTATATTACCTTTTTCCATCAGGTCTACCCATATGAGACATTAATGTCACATTCTTTGGATTCTATTCTAAAATCTTTTTTAATGTAGGGATGGCTCCTTAGATTCTTGTTGTGTTCTTCACTTTTCCTTCTTTAATGGGCACATTGAAATCAACTCTAATTAAAACTCTTTTATTGGTGAATTAACGTAACACATGATCAATTCCAGCCTTAGAACTTAACATTTATTTCAATAAATATATTTATCTTAAAAGATATTTGACTCTTCTGTTTATAAATTAATTATGTTAACATTATTATTGCTACAAGTGGTGTTTTCATAAAAAATTTTGGATTCACCACTTGAACAAGTTGTATGGTGTAAATCTGAAACCTTCATTCTTAGTGCAAAAGGTATGCTATACAAAAATTATACATCTGAAATGCCAAAGTTAATACCAAATGTAATTATGAATTATTCATTCTAGTTAACCATAAGAGAAATATTACAATCAGAAGCAGATTCTTAAGTACTTTATCTATTAGGTGATTTCGATACTTCTTATGTGACTTAGAATTGTGGGAAAACGTATTAAAAATTTAAGCATCAAAAGACTTTGCATGATTTCAGGTTAAATCCATTAGAAGCCCATAGTTTAATGGCATTTAAAGAGTTTAGATGTAATGCTACAAGTGGAAATTTGTGTAAAGAGAAATATAAAAAATAGTATGAAGATCTTTATTGAATTCTAGATTGTATGTAAGTAATGATTTTGGAAGTAATTGGAGACTAGTATTGAATAGAACTAAAGATGCAATATGGGATAAGTTGATTGAATTGCCAGAAGTGCCAGATTCAAGAATTGTAGCATCTTATTTAAGTGATTAAGGCCACGTATAGGTTAGTTATAGTGATGATTACTTTAAAACTACAAACTTATTGAGAAATAATTCTTATGGATTTTATTAGACTAAAGAGTATTTATTTATTTTGATTGATGCTGATCCTTTTAGTAAAGGTTATGATCTTGAAGTAATTAAATAAGGAAGTCTTACTCCAGTAGAATTAGTATTACCAATTGAAGATCATTAAAAATATACATTTACTGTATTGGATACTGTAAATGGATCTATTTTTATATCAATATCTCATTTGGAAGACATGCCAAAAATAATGAATATATATTAAAGTGATACAACTGGTACTAAATATACATTATCATTGTTAAATAATGTCAGAAGTTTAGATACTGGAAATTGTGATTTTGAATTGATTATGAGGGGTATTTACATAGCAAATATTTATGATAATGGTGAATTTGAGAAATTTAAGTTAAGAAGATCAACAAAAAATACAGATGGTATTAAAAGATTAGAAAATTATAAATAAAGTAGAATAACTTTTGAATAAGGAGGAGAGTGGCATGCTATCAAAGCTCCAAAATATGATTATAAAGGATAACCTATATAATGTAATGGAGATTGTTCATTACATTTATTAGGAAGAAGTGAAGCACCTAGAAATAGAATTGTAAGTCATTCATATATTACAATTGGAACTGGAAATACTGGAATTTATTTAGGAAATGAATATAAAACTTATTTAAGTAGAGATGGAGGACACACTTGGTTTGAAATATTAGATGGAATGCATATTTATGATATTGCTGAAAATACAGGACTAATTGTATTTGTAAGTGATGAAGAATAAGCAAGTGAAATCTTATATACTTGGGATGAAGGTTTAACATTTAAGAAGATAAAGATGAATGTTACTATGGATATAACAAATGTTGTATATAAAAATGGTAAGTTTATATTTCATGGAATATCTGATAGTAAAACTCTTGGAGTTGCAAAGGAAGATGATTTTACTTCAAGTGCATTAAAAGGAATAGTTGTATCATTAGATATCAATTAAATTATGGTTAGAGAATGTTAAGGATTTGATAATCCTGGAGAATAAGATTCTGATTATGAATTCTGGTATCCAACTAATTATGCTGGAGATAAGTGTTTATTTGGAAGAAGAGAAAAGTATATAAGAAGAAAATAGAGAGCATAATGTTATAATAAAGAACCTAATCTTCCAGTATAAACAGAAAATTGTCCATGCACTAAGGCTGATTGGGAATGTGATGTTGGATTCAAAAGAGATGTTTATTCTAATTGTATTCCAATGAAAGAGATTAAACCTAAATAATGTAAAGGAACTTATATGAAAAGTCAAGGATATAGAAAAATATCTGGAGATGAATGTTAAGATGGGTATAATATCTATATTTATTCTAGTGTTTATTTGGGTCCAATAGAAGTAAACTGTCAATAAGAAGAATAATCTATTACTCAAAATTAAGATGCCAATAAATCAAATGATAATGAAACACCATAATAATAATAAGTTACTTCTAAAAAAGTATAGATTACACAAAAGAAAGCAAGTGGTGGTGGAATTAAATTCTCTTATTTAGCAATTGGAGTCATCTTACTTATTTTGGCATTCTATGCAAAAAAGAAGTATCTTGATACTGGAAGAATTAAAAAAAGAACTCCTGCTCATTATTATCCTAGTCGATAATAAGAGAAATAAAGTCTATTTACAGAACTATGATAATGTACATAATTACCTATAAATTTATATATTATTCCATTTTGTCAACATGTTATTATATAACAAATTGTATATATATAATAAATAAGTTAATTTAATATGTCAGCTTCTCCTTTGACTAGAGTGTAGGCTTCTGCTTTCACTAATGGTTCTGCATTGAGAATTAAGTAGAAATAGCCTTAAATACAATACTAAATGGATTAAATTAGTCCTCTTAAATCCACAGAAGAAAATGAATAATCACCTTCTAAGATTATTAATATTTATGCTAATAGTGCTATTTATAATAATTAAACTACATTCACTTCTGTAAATAATAGAGGAAATAGTGAAGATGATAAAATTCTCAAAACTAACACCTATAGTCAAATGGCTCCTGATGAAGCTGATCGAGCTTATTGTCAAAGGCAAAAAATCATCAAGGATTAAATAAAAAAAACAAAAGATAAAGCAAAATAAAAACCAAAGGAATTCTATGAATCAAAATAGACTACAATAAAGAGTGCAATAAAAAAATAATAAATTGATTCTTCTACGGCATAATCATAATTAATTGATTTATCAAGAAGTTCATAAAATTTCAGAAGAAAATCAATAGATTAACCACCTTAAACATAAATTAAACCAATAACAAATAAAGTAAATATATTAAAATAATAATTTCATTAATAATTGTAAAATAAGAAATAACAATTATTAAATGATATTGCTAAATTAGACTAAGAAATTGTAATGGAATAAGAACGAAAACCTGTTTAAATTATTTAAAAGAAAACATAATAAAATAGAAATAGTCAAGGATCAAAACCAGTTTATGATCAAAGATAATAAAACAAAAAAATAGTAGAATCTGAATAAAAGTTAAAATAAACTGTGAATACTTATAGAAATCTAAATACTTCATAAAATTTTAAGATTTCACCTAGAAATTCTCCAAAATCTGCTAAACCTAAACCAAAAGTGAGATCATAATCATAGGAAATTAAGGAATGTAATGATCCTTTAAAAAATTCAAGAGAAGAATTAAATTGTATTAAATATTTATTTATAAAAGTAAGATTACTAAGAATGAATGAGAAATACAATATGATATTGGAGCAGTCAAATAAATTTAGAACACATTTTTAACAAATCTGAATATAATTAATTATTTATATGGATATTGATGATTTATTGGAGCAAATAGATCTTAATAATGATATTAAGCCATAGAGTACAAGAGAAAGAAACAGAAGATCTTTTATGGATCCACCGTAATAGAATTTTTATTAAATGAAGGAAATTGGAGACACAAAAAATAGCTAATGATCCCTATGAATTTGATAGTATACTCAAATCTCAAGATTCTCCTGTTGATAGACAAACTTCCTTTGTACCAAGACAAAGACCATAAACTGCTGTTATAGATGAATCAAAAAAACAAAAAATGGCTGATCTTTTCTAACTACCAAAAACTACTGTTAATAAGGATTTGCCTCCACCTCCTCCATAAATTGAAGATACAAGTAATAACATGGAAATTTCAATGGGATAGAGTAGAAGATAAAAAATGAGAATGTTATCCTAAAATAAGGGTCAACCTTAGAAAAGTGATATTAATTCAAGTTAAGATCCTATTGCAAATAATACCTAATAAATAGAAGTAGAAAAACAATCAGTTTAGTCTGATTATTCAATGAAATAAAGTAAATAACCAGAAATACAAATAACTGCACCAATAAATCTGAATGTTCAAAAATTTCAAGATGAAATAAAATAATTGAAATTAGAAAAAGATAAATTATAAGATGATTTATAAGCAATAAAGAATGATAAATAGAAACTTTAAGATGAATTAGAAATAGAAAAAAGGGAGAGATAAAGAGTAATTAATGAAAAATTAGAAGTTGAAAGAAATTTCATAAAAGAAAGAGAATAATTAAAAAATGATTATGAAAGAGAAAAATAAAGAGCTGTTGATGCTGTAAAATTGGAAGTAATTATATTAAATTAATAAATAATTAGAATGAAATTATGAGATAATAATTAGGTGAATAGAAATAATTAGATCATCTTGCAGATAAAATAAAAGATAGTGCTAAAGAATTGGAAACTCTTAAAAATTAATTATATTAAAAAAATGAATAATAAACTTAAGAGAAGTTGAGATAATTAGAAAAGAAATAAAATGAAATTAATGATTAAGAAACTTATATAGAAAAAGAGAAATCATATATTGAAAATGAAAAGAGAAGACTTTAAAATATTTAAGATGATATTAGTAGAAGAGAGTAATTATTTCTTGCATCAATGGAAGGAGATAAGAGATCATTATAGAGTGAGAAATAACTATTATAAGATATCAAGGAATCTTTAAGAACATTAGAAATAGAAACTAAAAAACGATTAGAATAAGAGAACATGTTTATACAAAGATAAAAGTAAATATTGATTTATTATTATATAGAAATGAACTTGAGTTGTTAAAAAATGAAATGAATTCATAAGCTTAAAGTAAATTAAGATAATTGGATTTAGAAAGATAATTATTTGAATAGTAAAAGAGTGAATATCATGAATTTACTTAAAAAAATAATTAGATTATTTAATAAAAATATTCAGATATTGAAAAATAATAATAAAAAAATGGAGCTAAAGAAATGCAACTTATAGCATTATAAAGAGATTTAGATATGAAAAGTAATTAAGTTACTAGTTTACATTCTGAATATTCTAGAAAATTAAGTTTAATTGAAGGGGAAAGATAATAATTATTATAAAAATTAAAAGAAATTAATGAAAAAGAGTAACTTTATCATAAAGAAATTAATAATGTATAAGAATTTAGAAATATATATTAATAAGAAAAAGAGACAATTTAAAGACAAAAACTTGAATTACATTAATAAGTAGCATAAAATCAATAAGAAAAAATATAAATTGAATAAGAGAAAAATTAATTAACTTAAATGCATAAGACTTTATCTCATTTAAGATCTGAAATAGCATAAAATAATACATAAGGATTCTCTTAAACAACAGCAATACCTGCTAAGCCTGTATAAAAAAATAAAGTGGATAAACCTAAGTCAGCATAAAAAATCCCAATTCACAACAATTCTTCTGCTAATCAAACAGCATCAAATTTTGATGTAGGAAGTTATATGAAATATTTGAAGAATGTTGATTATTTACATTGATTATAAATTATAAATATAATTAATTATATTCAATACTTTTTTGAAGAAGAAGGAGGAGGCCTTCTTGACCCAGTTTAAGTATTTGTGAATGTATTATTTGTACCATTTAAGTTAATATTATTTCTATTATTTTATGTTTATTATTATTATTATTAAGGTTATTATTATTATTTTTGGAAATTATTAGTTGCATTAAACTGAGACTTTATAGTATTTTATGAAGGTGGTAACATCTATTGAGATTTCTTTTTCATTTAAGTTATCATAGCCTTTTCTTTACATGATGGAATATGTTTCAAAGCTGTTTACTCATTAAATTTTCTACCACAATGTTCACACTATACTCTATCATCTACTTCTTCTATGGCAACCTAGACTTAGTGATTCATGTACTTATTCCTATTGACTAAGTGGCACTCCTTTATTTAATTTCATAGCTGCTCTGAATTATTCAGATTGTTATTTCCATTTAGGCTTTTTTTAACCTTAAATTGGTCTATCATCAATTTTAGTTTAGGGTTATTTTTTTTTCTATTGTTATTGTTATTCTTCAATAAATGCAATAAATTACAAATCTATTCTTCCTACTATTATTTCTATAATAATTTAGCATGATCTTAATTGATTATTCGTTGCTCTTTAGTATCGAATGCTTTTCTCTTCTCTTGAAATACCTTCTTGCAAATTTTAATATGTTTTTACAAAGCAGACCTTTTAAATTTCCTTCCACAACCATCAGGACATTCAATTAAATCCTCATCATCATCATCAAATTCATTAATCTCAATAGGCTTCTTATCCTCTTTAGCTACAATATCTTCATATGATATTGTTTGAGGCTAATAACTTTAAGCTTTCATTAAAGAAGGTGCTTAGTAAATGTCTCGATCTGGTACATCTTCTGTGAATTAAGTATATTTTCTATCTCTATCCCTTTTTGCTTTTAATAAAGTTAAAGCTGATCTAATTTCCTCTTAAGTAGCTGGACGATTTGGATTGTTTCGACTATAACTATTACTTCTTTATATAGGCCTTTAAGGCTCTTAAGGTACTTAAGGTTTATAATCTCCACGAAGATTCATTTCTGCTTGTTGAGCAAAATTGAGTCTACCCTCTCGAGAATTTGCCCTATATTAATTTGAACGAGGAGGTTAAGCTGATGGTTTCATTTTAATTAATTATATATATCTATAAAAAATATATTTATTTTTTCATAATAAATCTTTCAGGATTTCATAAACTCTTTTTAATCAAAACTCTAAATCCATAATTTTAGTATATTCTTATTGTGTAAAATATCTTATTAAAACTGATGATATATAATTAAGAAATAATAGAAAAAATATAATCAAATAAATCTTAATTTAAGTAATTATCAATTATAATTATTCTTAAACTAATAATGATTATAATATTTAGAAGATTTTTCATTAATTGATTATTATATATTTGAGAGTTTTAGAATGTGTAAATTATAATAAATTATTATTTCACTTTTATAAGAATATAACTATACAAGTAATGTCGTCTCTAGCTAAACTATTCTAAAATTTAATATCTAATTTACTCTTCTCCATGCTTGTGTGGCTTCTACGATTATACGTTCAGCTGCTTAATCTGGATTATCTTTTTCCAAGTAGGGAATAACCATATCCATTACCTAATTGAATTTTAATATACTTCTTCATTGCTTAAGTATTCCCATACTCCATCTGAAGCCACAACAATAAAGTGATCCTATCCAGTTATAGCATATTATTTAATTTCTGGTTCTGCAGTCACTCCTGCCTAAGCACCCACTTTATCTCCTAGTGATCTAGACATTGCCAATCCTGGAGCTTATATATAGGAAAGCCAAACTCGAAATGGTCCTATTGGATTTCCATGCAAATCTATTAATTTAATACACATCTACACCTTTTTATTATTCAACTCGTCCTCCAGCCTCTTAAATTTTTTTTTTTTCTTCAGGATCATCAGGTTTATGATCTCTACTTAAAGGAACAACTTTCCATCCATCATCAAATCTACACATTATTGCTCTAGAGTCTCCTACATTTGCTGAATAGATCTACAATATAATAATTTAATTACAAGATCCTTAGTTATCAATAATGATACTGTAGTTGAACCTGATAGATTAGTATCAATTTCAGAATTCCATAATTCCCTATTAGTTATTGTAAATGCTTTTTGAATCTAATTCTCGATGTTCTCTGCATCTTTCAATAACCTACCTAAGTGTTTAGGTAATTATTATTTTATTTAATTTGAAACCATATGACCATTTAAGCCATGTCCATCACAAACTGCAAACAACTTATATCCAACACTATTATTAATATATTGTATTTTACTTTTCAACATTTTTTGGACAAACAATTGCCGCATCTTAATTTATTTTTGTTGCTTTATTTGGTTAACAACCAGCCTTAGTTCTCATTGCAAATATCATAGAATTTCTTTTGCCTTATCTTTTCTCAGGTGTTATTGATTTCCTCATTCCTTCTATTTCTGAAATTTATTTTTTTCTTTATAATTACTACTCACTTGCAGTAAATTATATAGATGGCAAACGAGCAGCCTTACCCTTATAAATTGAAACTGTCTACTCAATCTTGCTCAACTTTTTTAAAGGAGGCAGTGCAGGCAATGATAAATTAGCCTAATATTTACCATTATTGCTATTATAATCTGCACTTTCAGGATATCTAGATGCTATCCTTTGTATATTCTCCTTCTAAGGAGATGAGAACTCAAGTGGTTTCAAACGAAATTCTCTTTATAATCTTGTAATTGGAACAGATTATTATTACATTTATTCTTTAAATAATAATTATTATATTATAAAATTCTAAGTTCATAAATTTCTAATTTTATTAATCTCATATCTATAATTAACACTTTAAATTTAAAAGATTAAAGATTTTACTATAAAATATAATGAAGTAAATATTATGAATACTGAGTATTATTTAAATGATTATTTAAATAATATAACATATTTATGAAAAGAAAAATGAAAAACAGTTAAATTATATAAAAATAATAGAAATAAAAAGGTGAAAAATATAATAATATTTTAAAATGATTAAGATATATCTTGAAATTATATAAATTTTAAAGCTGTCAAGTCTTATTATATGAATAATGAAGGAAGAAAATATTTAAATCAGAATTTGATCAAATTATGAATAGTTTTATTAGTTACTTTTTATATATTCATTATTATTAGTTGATTTAAATATTAATTTAATAGTATAAATTTTGAAGTAATTTTTTTAATTTATTGATACATATATTTTTGATCTTATTTATTATATGATTCTAACAAGTAATTCAATTTTATAAATCAATAAGAGAATACTTTATTTAAAATAGATTAATTATTATATTATGAAGGTTTAAGGGCAATAAATTTATATATTTCATAATTAAATCCTTACAAACAATTCTGATTACATGAATTCTATCATGAATAATAGAATTATATCTATTTATTATATGAAAATTTGATTATTATTTTATATTCTAATATAAATTATAAATAATTCAATATTTAAATAATGACTTAGAGAACAAGTAAAAATGTGTAAATTAATTTAATAAATAAATAAATTTAGTAATTATTAATTAAAGTAATTATATATTTTAGAATTATTAATGTTAAAAAAGAGAGGATCAGATTAATTAGATATAATTTTTGAAGCTGGTGAAGATTTAATGAATTCTTCAAAGAATCAAGTTATTATTCTAAAGAACAATTCTATCAGACTACCACTCACAAAACCTAGAACATTTTTATCGTATAGTTTAGAATTTTGTGGTATAACAGGTTTAAATTATAAATAACTTCGATTTTAATCATTAGGAAGAGATATTAGAGTATTTGATTGATTAATGATTTAGCCTGAAACTAATATTATGACTGCAAGTTTAGTTAAAGTGATACATACAAATGAATTTAATCAGATGGTTCAAAATCCTTTAAAAACATCATTATAAAACTTATTTTAAGGGGGAATATTTAGTGATGTAATTCTTAAGATTAATGATGAAATAGTAATGATTTCAATATATTTATATATAAATAGGTACTTCCATTACATAAATGTATATTGTCTTGTCGATCTCCAAAATTTAATGGAATGTTTTCATCTAATCTTATGGAGAGTACATAGAGTATAATAAAAGTAGAATATAAAAAACCTGAATTGTTTAAATTGATGTTAGGTTGGATATATAGTGGATATTGGAAAGAAGTATTTAAATAAAATAATAATTTTGATAGTTCCCTGATAATATTGCAGATGCATGTGATTTAATGTTATTGGCAGATGAATATATGATAATGGATTTAAAATAAAAGTGTGAAGAAGATATTATATCTAAATTAGACATCTCAAATATTTTATAGATCTTATTATTTGTTGAAAAATATTGTGATATATTATCTCCAATAATAGTAGATAAGGCTCATACTTTATTTATAGATGATTTTGATTAAATATTACGATTAAATCCAAATTTAGAATAAGAGATAACTAAAGTACCAGGATTGATGACAAAATTATTTTTAAATTATCATTAGAAGAAGATTAGAAAAGCAAGAAAAGTTCACTTTGTAGTAGAAGACTTCGATTAATAGGAATCAGATTCGGATTATAATTCATAGGATTATGTAAGAAATTATACACAAAATTTTTACTAATGATTTATATAATAAAATTCATTATTTTTATTAAGTGAAAAATTCATAAATTTATTTAATTAATTGATTATATATATTAATATCTTTTTATATATATAAATAACTAAAATGATGAGAATTTATTGAAGTTTATTTTAAAATTATAATGGCATATTTTTGTAATACAAAGGTATTATATTAAAATAAATATTTATTAAAAATATCTTAAATTTAATGAATCAATAAAATTTAGATAAAGATGAGATTGCTTTACTTTAAAAGCCTTGGGTTAAGAATCACACAACATTAACAAATGATGATATCTTAGAGCTTTACAGATTATTTAATTTGTATTGTAATCCCAGAACAAGAAGAATTGATTTGAAAGATGTAATGATAACAGCATAACATTTGGGATTGGTTGAAAAGAGTCCTATAGTAGCTAATACTTTATAATAAGTATCTGATTAACATGGAGATGGTGGTGTTGATTTTGAAGAATTTGTTAGAGAGTTGACTAATAAATTGGTAATTTTTGATTGTATAAAATCTTTTAGGGCAATTTATTTGATTAGAAAGGAAGAGAATAACTATTCACATTAGTGGATATAGATGGTAAAGGTACCTTAGATAAAGATGATTTGAAAAAGATTTCAGAAGAATTACATCTTAATTTTTCATAAAAGGATATTGATGAAATAATTCATAATGTTGCTGGATATGATGCTGTAGATATTACTGCTGAATAGTTTGAGAAATATCTAGGTAAATTGACAAATAGAAGAAAAATTGAGACTGAAGTTCTCAGAACCAAATGAAAAAAAACAGTTTATATAATAAGCATAAAAACAGATTTAATTATTAATATAATTGTTCTATATGATTTGATAATATATCAGACAGCTGAAGCTCCTGAAATGATTTCACATAACTCAACTGTGATTTTAGCTTATCTGACCTTATTGTATTCAAGTGTCAATTTGTCAAGCATTTCACCAGCATTTTTAGAAGCATTCTCCATAGCATTCATTCTTGATGATGTTTCACTAGCCAAACTATTTAACATGGCATGATAAAAAGCAGTTGCTACATAATATTCATACATATAATTTTAAACAAATTCTTTTTCTGGTTCAGCTGTATCATATTTAGTTACTAATCTGAATTAAGCAATGAAATTCTTTCTATTTAATAAATCAACTCTTTTGACTATTTATTAAACAACATTCTTAAATTAATTGAAAATGATTGATATTTAATCAACATCATCTGTTACATTCAATTAAATCTAATGAGCAATTGAAGATGAATTAATAAAATTTATAGGTGTTTAAATAGCTGTAATTGCCTATGTAAGTAATTCAGGNTTATTATATTAAATAATGTTTATAAGGAATATTAATAAAAAATATCTTTAATTTAATGAATCAATAAAATTTAGATAAAGATGAGATCGCTTTACTTCAAAAGCCTTGGGTTAAGAATCATACAACATTGACAAATGATGATATCTTAGAGCTTTACAGATTATTTAATTTGTATTGTAATCCAAGAACAAGAAGAATAGATTTGAAAGATGTAATGATAACAGCATAACATTTGGGATTGGTTGAAAAGAGTCCTATAGTAGCTAATACTTTATAATAAGTATCTGATTAACATGGAGATGGTGGTGTTGATTTTGAAGAATTTGTTAGAGAGTTGTCTAATAAATTGGTAATTTTTAATTATATATAATCTTTTAGGGTAATTTATTTGATTAGAAAGGAAGAGAATAATTATTTACATTAGTAGATATTGATGGTAAAGGTACTTTAGATAAAGATGATTTGAAAAAGATTTCAGATGAATTGCATCTTAATTTTTCATAAAAGGATATTGATGAAATAATTCATAATGTTGCTGGATATGATGCTGTAGATATTACTGCTGAATAGTTTGAGAAATATCTAGGTAAATTGACAAATAGAAGAAAAATTGAGACTGAAGTTCTTAGAACAAAATGAAAAGACACAAATTTATATAATAAGCATAAAAAACAGATTTAATTATTAATATAAATGTTCTAAATAATTTAATATCAGACAGCTGAAGCTCCTGAAATGATTTCACATAACTCAACTGTGATTTTAGCTTATCTGACCTTATTGTATTCAAGTGTCAATTTGTCAAGCATTTCACCAGCATTTTTAGAAGCATTCTCCATAGCATTCATTCTTGATGATGTTTCACTAGCCAAACTATTTAACATGGCATGATAAAAAGCAGTTGCTACATAATATTCATACATATAATTTTAAACAAATTCTTTTTCTGGTTCAGCTGTATCATATTTAGTTACTAATCTGAATTAAGCAATGAAATTCTTTCTATTTAATAAATCAACTCTTTTGACTATTTATTAAACAACATTCTTAAATTAATTGAAAATGATTGATATTTAATCAACATCATCTGTTACATTCAATTAAATCTAATGAGCAATTGAAGATGAATTAATAAAATTTATAGGTGTTTAAATAGCTGTAATTGCCTATGTAAGTAATTCAGGGAATGCTCTTTGTAATGCTCCAAGGGACTAAAATGGAATTAAAAAAATTAATATACTTTTTCACCAATCAAGAATAGTTTGTAAGCATTACGATTTTGTCTGACTACTTAACGTGTTTCTCTAATTATTGATGAATTAATGCCACCACAAAGTCCTTTGTCTGATGTAATGGGAACCAAAAGTGTCTTATTTATTTTGAATGTCAATTGTTTTTTCTATAAGTATGTTTCATTTGCAAACAAATCCTAAATAGAACGTATACCAAAGTGTTTGCCATTCTCAAGTCTTTAAACATCCTGTTTCATTTTTGAAGCAGCAACCATCTTCATGGCCTTGGTGATCTTTCTAATTGATCCTACAGACTTCATTCTTTGCTTCAATTATTTAAGATTGAGTGTAGCAAATGCATACTAAGGAACTGGAGTTAAGCTATTCCACAAACCAAGTGTGGCACCCTATAATCTCTGCATTATTTAATTAAATAAATAAATCTTAAAAACAAACAAATAAAGAGACTTATTCTTAATTTTATTTGTTATCTTTTAATATTATTTCTAAAATAAGAATTAAAATAAGACCATAATAAATATTTAGAAATAATAGTCATAAGATAATAAGAAATTCTTAATTGGATTAAATGAAGTTAAAGTATTATTTAGAATAAATTTTATTTAAAAATAATAATAATAATTATGATATATAAATAATTATTAGAAATAAAAAAAAATGATATCATTTTTGAACTTGTTGTGATTCTTGTATTTATTGCTACTAAGATTATTATAATTTTTTTGTTACTCTTGAATCAAACAAGCCCTATTATAATCTTAATGCACTTAGAGCAGTCTATTTTTTGAAACTAGCTAATTCAGAAAAGGATCTTTGTATATTATTTAGACTATTCTCCTATTGTTTCTATAATTTTTATTAAGTTTTAACTCTATCAGAATATAATTATTTTATTTCATCAACCTTTGCTTATAAATTTCTTTAATTATTAATTGGAGTGTTTATTTTAGAATAAGTTGAAACTTAATGTGATTTAAAACTATCAGTACTTTCATCCATTTAGGTATGACATCTTTAACTAAGATATAACTAATCAATAATTGCTGATTTTTATGTAATTCTACTTTACTTTTCATGTTAAGATACTGATCTTTACTAATTAAAGAATCTATCAATTTATGCTTTTAAATTCTACATTTTCAATTCAAATTCATCATATCTAAAGAATTATTCTTTAATAAAAAATAATAATATACCATTATCTGGAAAATATTTAACAGTACTAAAAATATCACTAAAACTCATTTATCCAATAACTTTTTACATTATTTATTTACATCCAGAATAGTAATTAAGAATACTTACTGATGGTTATAATGATTCACTTAAACCTATATTTTCAAAATCACTTCTTAATTAAATAAGACTGTTAATTTTCATCTAAATATCATTAAGCATTTTTTCAGTCTATTATTCTTATATCTCTTTAAGATTATCTAATTATGTTAAAATCTCTTTCTCTTTATTTTGAATCACTTAATATAAAGATTAAAATTATTCTTATACTCTTTAAATTAAATAATCCATCTCTTCTTATAACGTAGAATCTTAATCTTAAACTCTTTTTAATTGCAATTGCATTAATTCTAGAGATGCCCCTATTGTATGTGTTGCATCATTCATTTTACTTTTTAATCTCTTTAAACAACTATTAACATTTTATATTTCATGTGTCTTATTATCATGTCTCAATAAACATTTAATACAAAAACACTTATTTTCACAAGTGAAACAAAATAATGTTGCATCTTCTTTAGTATGAATATCACATTTTGGTTATGGCAATGGCTATATAATAGTTTAACTTTATTAGAGTGGTTTATCTTCTTTAATTTAATTTTAATCTTCACGAACCTTTTCAAGACTAGTTTGAATCAATTGATGACAGATACTCTCAACTACTGATACTGATCCATCATCTAAAGGTGTGTCTTTTTCACATACTGTACATATATAATGAATATTATCTGTTCCTTCTAATTTGAAGATTCTTCCACCCTATTATTTTAAATTAAAATACTTTCAAAAAGTTTTAAGCCATACATATTAAGCAGAAACAATGATTACAATTTAGACTTAAGTAATTATCTGGTACTTATTTACATTAATCACATGCAACAATCTCTTCTTCTGACATGAATTAACTGTTAAAATAATTAATTAGCGGAATTATTACTTCATTAAAATTTCTGTTAATTATTAATCAAGAATAGTATATACATATGCAATATCTATAAATATAGTAATGAAATATAACAAATTATATCTATATTAAAGTTATTTGAAATTGAAATATATATATATCATCATCTTTATTCAATTGAATCTATCTGATAGAAAACCTATCAACTTTTATTCTTCTACTTATTTGTACATACTTATATATCCTTTAATATTTGTAGATTTATTGATATGTACTGTTTTTAATTATTATCTATTTCTATCTGTTGTAGAAAATGTATTAACAAATAATTTTTAAGCTAACTATTATCTATATTATTATTTTTCTTCCTCTGTTGAATCCTTTGTTAATACTTTTATCTCATGTTTTGGAGATCTAGCTAATTAAGTATTTTTAATCAAATCTTCAGGAGATTAATGTAATTATCTTCTTAATTTTGCTAAAGGATTATCAATTTATTAAGTTTTCTTAGGTATTAATTTCTTTTAAATTTCATTTGAATATGAAATCAGTTATTTTTTAAATCCTTCATTCGGATTTACACAGGGCCTTTTAGATTTTACAAATTTAAGTGTTTTCTCAAATACCCATTTATTTTGATACATCAAATAAGCTATAACACATGTAGCCGATCGAGAAATACCAGCCATACAATGCACTAAAACAGATCCAATTTTCATTCCCTCTTCAATTTCTTCATTTGTCATTTCAATCAATTCTTAGATAGTTACATTTTCTTTATCATGAACTTTAAAAATCTACTCATATTCATCAATATACTTTATGAATTATTTTCTAATGTTTTGGATAGCTTATATTAACATTACTAGCTACTGTAATTACAGTACGAATATTCTCTTTACTTAAATTCTAAATATTCTAAGCAGCCTTTATATTACCTAACCATAAAGCTCCATTTGGTTTCATAGATGGCAATATCAAATCCATTTCGTTAATGTGCATATACATAAATATTAACTAGATTAAATATAAAAATATAGTTAATTATTTATATTCAAGTAATTTTATTCATCAAATATTCCAATGTTGTATTTTATAATAATTTTATTTATTGTACTTACATAATGTTCTTAAATTTTAAAATATATATAAGACATATATAAATATTATAAAAAATAAAGGTATGATTAGTTTAAAAAAATTAGGATAATATTCTTAGAATAATATAATTCATTTATGATTTTTATTCAATTATATTTCAAATGTATTATTACTAATATCAAGGAATTCATAATGTTTATTAATTATTTATTTTTATTAGAATTGAAGTAAAATGATTAGTACTATTTTATCATTTTTGTGAAATTTAGTTATCTATAGATAAATCAAATGGTCTTTATTCCTTAATAGTAGATTTGAACTATTGTTCTTAAAAATGGATATCCCATTTGTTATTAAGATTATTTTTTGACTAATTAGAAATAGAGAATTAGTAGTTTCTACCTATATACTTATAATAATTTAATTATAAAAAATAAATGCTTTAAAAGCCTTTCTAATTTGATTTATAGATGTTCTCATAAAAGTTTGAGTTTAACAATAAAGAAATAATTGGAAAAGGTTTTGATTCTATTGTCTATAAGGTCACTAATAAATAGGATAAAGATTAATATGCATTGAAGTTAACAAGTTTTAAAGATATGTAACACAGATTTAATTTTTAACAGGAAATACGACTCTTATATCATTTGAATCATGAACACATAGTAAAATTTTTTGGAAACTCAATGGATGGTAGTTGTATATTGATTGAATATATGCCTCATGGTAATCTTGTAAAATTGATTGATCTATAACTTGACTTAAAGATTATCAAATCAATTTTAAATTAGATAATGAGTGCTGTAAAATATTTACATTAAATGAATATTGTACATGGTGATATTAAACCTGAAAATGCGCTTATTTCAAGAGATTTCATAATAAAACTTTGTGATTTTGGATTTGCAATTATACAAAATTAACCAAATGCAAAATTAAGAGGAGGAAGTGAAGGTTATACTGGTCCTGAAGTAGGTGCAATTGAAGATTATGATGCTAAAAAGTGTGATATGTTTTCTTTAGGAGTGGTCTTTTTTGTATTGTATATAGGATATCGACCATTCTTAAGTACACATCCATAAAGATAGGATAAATTTTGGAATTATATAAAAAATAAAGAATGGGATAAATTTTGGAAGATTTTCGAAGCAAAAAAACCAGATGTTGGATTTAAGAATTATATATAAAAATTATTGTGTGCTGATCCAAATGAGAGATACACAATTGAAGAAGCTATATAAGATGATTGGTTTAAAAGCAATCAATACTCTGTATCATAATTAGCCCAATAACTTAGTATACATTTAACTAAATAATGATATTTATTTTGATTAACCATTTGTTTAATATGAAATAAATTGTATAGAATTAATGTATATTTTAAAGTCTTCTAAATTTTCATTATATATGATCAATAACTATTCAAAATTTTTAGTTTTAATAAATATTATATAATAAATAAATAATGTTTTTGATTAAAAATCTCTTGAAGAATAATTAAATACAAATAGCATCAAAATTGTAAAATAAACTCAAATTTTCATCTTCATTTCTAGATATTAAGATGTGATGAGTTTTTTCTTTTCAAAATTGACCTTAATTATTAGTCAGTTTATTATTATTTTTTGTTTATATTATGCTGATTTCTGAAGTTAATCTTCATTATATCAAGATTGGAAATTTGAGAAAGAGTTTCCTTGATTTATAAGACTTCATCATTAGGATCATATACACATATTGTTACATAGTTATCAAATTCTATTTAGTATTTTTTGCCATTTTTAATCTATCTTCCTTTTGCATCATACCTTTATTATTCTTTAATTAAGGAAGTTTAATTGAAACCTTAACAAAACGGTTCATCTGGCACAGTATCATCTTATGGCCCTACTTTTATGGTTAGTTAGAGCAGTAATTTAGGACCAACACTTGATTTCTACATTATAATTTAATTTTTAGTATATTAAGTTGTACTTATTCGATTTATTGAAATATTCTAGTTTGTTATATCTACTAGCAATAATTTAGACAAATTTAATTATTGTTTAATAGTAATAACAAAAAAATTGTATGGGGTGAAAAATGATGCATCAAATAATTTGGAAGATGAGTTAATAAACTGAAATTTACATATTCATTAAAAATATTAAATGGGTACTTGCTAAAATATATGTAAACAATAAGACAATGAAAGAGAATGTACAATCTTGACTAAAACTAAAACCAATAAAGGATAAGAATCAGATAGAGAATCTAAAACTGATCCTTATTTCTCTTAGTAATTATTTATAAGAGATGATTCTATTGCTGAAGAAAATAATTGTTATATTTCCTAAAAACAACCTTGTTTTATTAAAACTAAAGAAATAGCATTTGTATAAACTCACACTGATAGGAAAAATCGATTTGAAAACGATATTAAACTTGAAATTAGATATAAAATATAATAGATGTAATATTAATCATATTTTTAGAAAATTGTAGGAAGAAGAAGAGTTAAGAAATTTACAAGAATAATATTTATAAGAAATTAAACAAAAAGAAGAATAACGATAAAAGGAATAAGTACTTGATAACTAATTTTCATTCTAAAATTCAATGAAACAATCTTTATCAGAATTACCTAATAATTAATAAACATCTAACCCATATTTACCAAGATAGACATCTTAATTTGCACCTAAAAAACCAGATGTTGATACTGTTTCTTAGAAATCTTAAATATCTAAAACTCCAACATAGAAAGATTAACAAATATCTCCTAAATCTGAAATGATGAAGAAGTCTGCTTTAAAAAAAATTATAATTCAACGTGAAGAATTATAAAGTAATAATGCAAGTTATGGAACATAAAAATCAGTTTATTCAAAAAAAGTTAAATAATTAGAAGCTTTTGAAAAAATGTTTAGTGATTATTATTCATAAGATGAAAGAAGTTAAAGTGGTAGTCATAAGACATAAAAGAGTGTTAAAAGTATTTTAAAAAAGAATAAATCTCTATCTTAAAGAAGTATATCAATGGGTAAAAATTCAATAAAATCAACTCATACTGTTTTTAAAAATAGAAATTAAAAAAAAGTACGATTTTCTAATGATACTAATTTTAATAATGAAAGAAAAGGACTTAATAGGATAAGAAAAAGTTGGTGGGATTGGTGAATTCAATATGCTAAATAATATTCTCTGTATTACTCTCTTGATAATCATTGTTTATTAATCAATTATATAGATTAGAATAATAAAATTATTAATTATTATTTTTCTTATCAAATATGATTCAAATTTTAATTTCAATTAAAATAATACATCCATAAAATCTATTTATATATTATTTTGTAATAATAATTAAGAATAAATAATAAGCATTATTAAAATTATATACAATTAGTATACTAATAGAGGATTTAGATTGATTATTATATATTGAACAATCATTTAATAAATTTTAGTCATAATTTTTATTGAGTGAATTCGAATTCATATATATTTAAGGAATAATATATATAATTTATAAAAAATATGGTTAAAACTCCAATAAAAGTTATCGTAAGAACTCGACCAACAGTAGAATTTGCTTATAAAAATATCAATATCAATGAGAATACAGGACACATTGCAATCAATATACCAAAATCAGCTGAATAAGGTATGAATGTTGATTTAACATTTGAAAAGGATTTGTGAATCATTAATAAGAAGATTGGGGCTTCACTTTTGATAAGGTTCTTTAGAATGCAAGTTAGGAGGTAGTGTTTGACATATGCGGAAAAGAATTAATACACAGTGCTCTTGGGGGATATTCTGGAACAATTATGGCTTATGGATAAACAGGAGCAGGTAAGACATTTACAATGATGGGATCTCAGATTGATTATAAATATAGAGGAATGATGCCAAGATGCATTAGCTTACTTTTTCAAGAAATAGAAGCTAGATATGAATAATAAATTACGGTAGGAGTTTCATATTTGGAGATATATAATGAAATGATGTATGATTTATTGGCTGGAGGAGATTAAAAGTATATGTGTTAAAAACTTACTATAGCACTGGTTTGGCTATTTAGGAAGACAATAATGGATATGTATAAGTAAAAGGATTGACAATCAAAAAGTGTTAAACTGAAGAAGATGCAATAGCATAATTATTTGAAGGAGAAACCAATAGAACAATAAGTGAACATAAACTTAATAAGGCATCATCAAGATCACATTGTGTATTTACAGTTCATTTAGAGATAAGATCAAGAGTGGAATCAGCTGAAAAAGTCATTATTAGTAAATTAAATCTAGTAGATTTGGCAGGATCTGAAAGAACAAAGAAAACTGGATCAGAAGGTAGAACTTTATTAGAAGCTTAATTCATTAATAAATCACTTTCATTTTTAGAATAAGTAGTAGTAGCATTATCAGAGAAATAAAGAGATCATATTCCTTATAGATAAAGCAAATTAACAAATCTTCTTAAAGATTCAATTGGAGGAAATAGTAAGACTGTTATGATAGCTAATATATGGCCAGAGAAACATTAATTAGAAGAAACTATATCTACTTTGAAATTTGCATAAAGAATGATGAAAGTTACTAATGAATCTTCAATAAGAGTTAATTTGGATCCTTAAGTATTGATAAAAAAATATGAAAAAGAAATAAAAGATTTAAGATAAGAATTAGCAATGCATGATACATTGGCTAATAGAGGTAGAATATAATATGAACCATATACACCTGAATAATAATACAAATAATAATAAATAGCATAATAATTTTTAAATGGAGAACTTGAAGATATTGATATAGATTCATTAAGATAAGTTAAAGAATTATTCTTTTAATTTAGAAATCTATATAGAAATTTAGTTAAAGATTTGGAAAATAAAAATTACATTCCAAGAACAGAAAAAGAAC